TATATATGTTTTTATGATAATCAACATTTAATAATGAGTAAATAATGATATTTAAATCATAATTTTTATATAATTACAAAAGTACACAGAGAGTGAGGACATCCGTCAAGCAACAATTTTTTCCCCAATTTTGATGAACATCTCTAGCTTAAACTCTATAGTTAAATTCATTGTTTCTCTTCATGAGTCACAACTCTGGTAAAAAAAATCCATAAATTCATAAATTTACAATTGATCTTGCTAACACACCAAAACATTCCCTTTTCTTGCCTCTGGTACGATACCTCTGGACTTTTTGGGTCCAGTGCTGAGGCTGTCAATAGTCACTACTGCCACCCTCTGGTTTAAGGGGGAACTGCTTGGTCAGCCAAATATCCGTATCTCACAACGTTAAGAGAATCTTTAAAAATAAAAAAACTCCTGTATCCAGATTATGATCTCAATCATCCCCATAATTTATTGGATTGTTGATTGGCATGAGGGACATAGCTGATAAAAATGTTATTAAAACCCATCCATGACTTTTCAAGTTATTCTATACTCAGACAAACATACAAATTCTCCTAAAAAAGTAACCCCCTAATTATAATTGGTTATTGTGACATTCAATTATTTAATTGTGAATTTCATAATTTAATGGCATATTCACTATCTGAATTATATTTGAGGCAGATAAATAAATTATATCTACTTGTGTCCTAACCGCCATTTTAGAAAGTCCTGGTCTAGTGCATTAAAGTCCTTAAAGGTGTTCTTAAAGGTACTTTATATTTTTAACTGCTAAATTTTTTAAGAGCTACGGAAGTCATCGGTTCAAGGATACCATGATGGGGGGGTTGCTAAATGTAGGGTTGAGTGGTGGGTGTGCATACAGTACAAGGTCTATACCAGAAGCACAATCAGTTCATTTGCACATGTGCAACCAAAAATACATCAAGTTCCTTACTGAATAATTAAAATGCTGATAGTTCTAATTTCTTTCCATTTTAACAAAAGTACATCGTTTAAAATGCTAAGGATGATTTCACTGAGATTGAATGCATTTACATAATTTCTGTTAGTTTCGTTGACTGACATCATCACTGCACCTGCTTAGAGCAGTCCAGTGAAATATGACTTTAGCTGTATCCTTGACATGTATACACAGTACTGCTTTTAAAGTACAGCGAAATACAAACATGAATAAATACTGCAATTATTTGCAAATATAAAACTGAAAAACATTTCAGTTTGGGGATGCAGAAGCATGAGTGTAGTTCTGGGACAGATCAGTTACAGAATAACATAACACGGAAAGGATGTAAATGAATACATTCTCTCAGCAAAGTTGTTTTTAACATTTCAATTTCTGCATTTTAGTATATTTCTGTAATAAAGGATACAAAATAAGTAATTTGTGAAATCTAAGTTTAATGGTGATTCGGATCTATTTTTGGCTGCACATTTTGAAATGAGCTTATGTTATGGATCATGCTTTCAGTATGAATTATATAGTGACACGGAGGTTAACTATTGCTAATTTAGCCTAGCTAAGCTATATTTATGCATGGGCAGGCAGCAGAGGGATGCTAGTAGTTGCAAAATATATAGATCTTTTGAGGTAGGGGTATTCATCCCCTTCAACAGGAGGGGTTGAGGTTCTGTGGAAACCAATTGATCAGAGCTTTATCAATTGAGCTGCTTGCTTTAAATCGCTGACTCACCAATGCCTGAAGCCGCTGCTGCAGTGGCAGCAAAGGACAGGATAACTGAGCTTTGACTGATTGACTTTATTGATTTCACAGTGGAGAAATGTCCTCCTTATATCAGCTCAAATAGTTAAAAAGAGAAGAAGGTGCCAAAGGAAGAAAATGGTGCACGGGGTATATATAGTATATACTGTGCGTCCACATATATGTAGGGCTGCCAACTTTTCACCAAACCCTGGAGTGAGATTTTTAAAAGACTTTGAACACGTACCTTGTCAGGGTTAGATGAGGACAGGCTAAGCTATAGGTTATAGGTTTTCCGAGGATTTAACTGAAGCAAAGTTGTAAAATGTTGAACAGTAAATTTTACTGTGTAACAATAAGTGATCCGTAGTTATGTGGAAAATTTTCACACAATATACATTATATTCTACCGTAAATTCTCTAATATTGGCCTGTATTCCAATAGCGGCCGGGTCTCTAATAATGGCCGGTCTCGCTGTCAGAGGAGGTAAATAATGGCCGGTCTCTAATACAGGCCGGGGCTATAAACGTTTTTTCTGGGCATACCTCAACATTATACTTGTGGTAGTAACATACAAGTACAAACCGGATTCCAAAAAAGTTGGGACACTAAACAAATTGTGAATAAAAACTGAACGCAATGATGTGGAGGTGTCAAAAACAAATATTTTATTCAGAATAGAACACACATCGCAGATCAAAAGTTTAAACTGAGAGAGTGTATCATTTTAAGGGAAGAATATGTTATTTCCAAATTTCATGGCGTCAACAAATTCCAAAAAAGTTGGGACAAGGCCATTTTTACCACTGTGTGGCATCCCCCCTTCTTCTAACAACACGTCTGGGGACAGAGGAGACCAGTTTCTCCAGTTTAGAAATAGGAATGCTCTCCCATCCATGTCTAATACAGGATCTAACTGTTCAGTCGTCTTGAGCCTTCTTTGTTGCACCTTCCTCTTTATGATGCGCCAAATGTTCTCTATAGGTGAAAGATCTGGACTGCAGGCTGGCCATTTCAGTACCCGGATCCTTCTCCTACGTAGCCATGATGTTGTGATTGCTGCAGAATGTGGTCTGGCATTATCTTTTTGAAAAATGCATGGTCTTCCCTGAAACAGATGACGTCTAGATGGAAGCATATGTTGTTCTAGAACCTGAACACAGGTCTCTGCATTTATGGTGCCTTTCCAGACATGCAAGCTGCCCATGCCACAAGCACTCATGCAACCCCATACCATCAGTGATGCAGGTTTCTGAACGGAGCGTTGATAACAGTTTGGGTTATCCTTGTCCTCTCTGGTCTGGATGACACGGCGTCCCAGTGTTCCATAAAGAACTTCAAATCGTGACTCATCTGACCACAGAACAGTCTTCCATTTTGCCTCACTCTATTTTAAATGATCCCTGGCCCAGTGCAAACGGCTGAGCTTGTGGAGCTTGCTTAGAAATGGCTTCTTCTTTGCACTGCAGAGTTTCAGCTGGCAGCGGCGGAAGGCACGGCGGATTGTGTTCACTGACAATGCTTTCTGGAAGTATTCCTGAGCCCATTCTGTTATTTCCCTGACAGTAGCGTTCCTGTTTGAGGTTCAGTGACGTTTAAGGGCCCGGAGATCACGAGCATCCAGTAACGTTTTACGGCCTTGACCCTTACGCACAGCGATTGTTCCAGACTCTCTGAATCTTTAGATGATGTTATGCATGGTTGATGATGATAACTTCAAAGTCTTTTCTATTTTACGCTGGGCAACACCATTCTGGTATTGCTGCACTATCTTTCTGCGCAACAGTGGTGGAATAGGTGATCCTCTTACCATCTTGGCTTCAGAGAGACACTGCCACTTTGAGAGGCTCTTTTTATACCCAATCCTGTTGTCAATAGACCTAATTAGTGTTAGTTGGTCTTCCAGCTGTTCGTTATTTGCTCAATATCCTTTTCCCAGCCACTTATTGCTACTTGTCCCAACTTTTTTGGGATCTGTAGACACTGTGAAATTTTGAATCAACATATTTTTCCTTTAAAATGTTACGTTTACTCAGATTAAACTTTTGAGCTGTCATCTATGTTCTATTACGAATAAAATAGAAACATTTGCCATCTTCACATCATTGCATTCAGTTTTTATTCACAATTTGTTTAGTGTCCCAACTTTTTTGGAATCCGGTTTGTACCACAGCCCTGCGCTGCTGGACGACAGACCCTGACTGCTGCCCGTCTGCGCGAGGAAGAGAACAGACACGCAGCAGAACATGAGGAGGAGCGCGAGTGATGAGGAGATTAAAGGGAGAGATGAAGAGGAGGAGAAAAACTGAGGAGGAGAATTAAACAGAATTGGAGGATTTTTTTATTTTTTTACTTCAAACCAAGCGAGACAATTTGAGTGAGCGAGGAGGTGTCTAAACCTGTAAGTTGCTTTTTGTTATAAAACAATAGCCTAATTATCACCATGTATGGTTAAGTGTTTACATTGCACTAGTAGCACTACTGGTATGTTTGCTACCTTTTTTGTTACTGGAATTTTGCCTGAATTACAGGTAGGCTATTTGTTGTTAAATTTCTGTACACCGTTATGGTAGCTGTACTTTTTCAATAAATGAACCTAGTGTTTTATAGGTTCAAATAGACGCAAAATCTAATTTTTATTCATTCCACTGGTAGTCTGTTTTGCTCAAATAGCAATGGAGGCCTGTCTCTAATTCTGGCCTCTTTCCAATAAAGGCGTGGACCGCGATGCACTTGAGTGAAATAAAGGCCCGGGCCTATATTAGAGGATTTACGGTATATTTTGGTGATTTTTAGAGAACTGAAGTATAGAAGTATGGGCCCTACTAAAATACTTGCATCTTAAATATACTGTAAAGATTTTCACAACTGTGTTTATTAGGGTGACCAGCCCCAGGGCTGATTGCTTGCGGTCTAGTCAGTGGCCCAGAACCCCCCCCCCCCCCCCCCCCCCCCCCCCCCCCCCAAAAAAAAAAAAAAAAACAACAACAAAAAAAAACACATAAATAAAAAAAAATAAAAATACAGAATCCCAAATCTGGTCACCCTAGTGTTCACTAATTATTCTATGCAGTTCAAGTAACATAACCAATAAAGAACTAATAAGTTATTATTGGATTACTGACAGTACTATAGGAAACACTGAGTTTGAATCCTGTGCAAATTACACTGTGTATGAAGCATAAATCATCCTCCAGCTTCCCCCTCAGCAGCTCTGGTCTAATGGTGTTGAGAGCGCTGGAAAAGTCAAAGAACATGACTCTCACTGCGCTCCCGGTGGTCTCCAGGTGGGTTGTGCAGCAGATAGATGATGGCATCCTCCACTCTGATGTCTGGTCAGAAAGCAAACTGCAGCAGGTCCAGGGTGGGACTCACTACAGTGCGCAGGTGAGCTAGGATGAGGCGTTCCATGGCCCTTATCAGGTGGGAGGTCAGGGTGACTGGTCTAAAGTGGGCCGGTTCCTTGGCGTCCCTTGGGAACCGGTACCACACAGGAGGTCTTCATGAGAGTGGGGACCACCCCAGTGATGGGCAGTAGCGCCGCTACATGTAGCGAAGCTATTAGTTTAACTACATTTTCCAGTAGTTTGACCGTAGCGTCGCTGCTTTATTTATGAAGTAACTTTCCTGTAGCGACGTTATTGTTTTGATCAAGTAGCGACGTAGCGTCCACAAACGCTACAAAATCCAGGGCAAAACTAAGAAATGAAACCAGGTTGTAAATAGCAGTTTCAGCTGACGCTCTTATAAGTGGGTTAAACAAGCGCACCCTTTCCGAGTCTGTCGTTCTATTGGCTGGAATGGTTGCTAGGCGACGATCCAACTGAAGTCCGAGAGAGCAAAAAAAAAATCCGCAAGCAGAGCCTATGGGTTTGCGAGCGTATCTGAGACTCGTGCAGAGCGCGGATTGTGCGTGAAGAGAAGGAGGCAAGCGAGAGGAGAAAATATCTGTGCAAGAAGCATTAATTCTGAGAGAAGAAACAAAGAGAGAAGAGAAAATATTTGAGAGAGAGCGCATGTTTTGAGTGTGAGCATTATAAGTTTTGAGAGCAAGAAGATGAAATTATTTTCTCTAATTGAAATGATGTGCTCTTGCATTATGGCAGGATAATTCTCCCATTTGTGCCACTAAGATACTCTAATTAGAGAGCAGTAGTGAAACTTCCATATTGTATTTCCATGGCCTAGTTTACCTGACAGGATGTTTACATAAATCTGTTTTTAGGCTTTGCACAGATAAGATATTTTATTTATGGAGGAACAGCTCTACCGTATATAAAATAAATACATAAATAAATAAATGCTCAATAAATAAATAAATAAGCATTCAATTAATTACCCCCAAAAACACAATGAATAAATATGTAGGTATATTATATGGTGAGACATAAATATATGTATCACTTAATTAGCTTCTTTATTTTTTCACCTTCTTTTGTAAACAGTTTCATTTGTTACTTGAATCGACTGTTAATTGAGGTCTGAAGAAGTTTTCTCTAAGGGAGACCCTAAAGAAATAAGATGCCTTTTGTAGGGTTTTGTTTTCCCTAGAGATGTCCATTGAATGCAAACTCATAGCCATGTCTCCATGTGTAGAACACTACACAGTACCTTTCATTTGGTTCTAATAACAGCTGATTGTTTACTAGTTTGTCTATTAGTAATTACTTCAGTTTTTATTTTAATATGCTGATCATAAAGCAATGTTTACACTGTGTAATATCATTGGCTGATCTTTAATAAATGTTTTAACTAGTGTGTCAGACTCATTTTGAATTGACATTAGGTTGGTACAACGCTAAGTAGCTTCTGATGTAGTTAAGCTACTTTTAACACATTAGTGTAACTTAGCTTGCTATAATTCTTTAGGTGGTAGCTTTGGTGTAGTGAAGCTTAATTTATTGTTGAGTAGCTGATAGCTTAGCTCACTACAATGGACAAGTAGCTTGCCCAACACTGGACCACCCCCAGGCTGAGGTTCAGGTTGTAGATGTAGCTGAGGACATCCGCACACTTTCTCAGCAGCCTTCGGGGGATGGATGCTTTGCGGTCCAGAGGCTTTCCTCTGTTTTAGTCTCTTCAGCTGGCCTCTCACCTGCATCAAAGCAACTATAAAATGGGAGGGAGGCAGGACAAGGGGTGTGAGTGGGTCGGGGATCGGTGAGAGTGGCGGTGAGGGGGAGTGTAGTTCACTGGTGGTCTGGGAGTAGTAGACATATCGAGAGTTGAGGACAGGGAGGGGGCTGGTGTAAGGGGGGGTCAAACAGGGTGAGAAACCTGTTTAACTCATCTGCCTTACTTCAGGAAAGACATGCTCTTTCTTAAGCTCTGGTTTAGTTCTGATAAACTAAAACATTAATCCATCACTCATCATGCATTAGTCATGGATTGTGTGTTGTACAGCTAATAGTCTTACAGCATTGCTTGGATTTGCCCTACTTGCATAGTTCACCTGTGAAAACCAGGAATATTAAATAAAAACATAATGAGTGTGAGTTTTCTGCAGGGAGAGTAAGGAGGAGTGTTTGCAAGATGCACAGCCAGGTCTGATTAGGTATTAGTGAAGTCAAACAGCATGCAGAAAAAAATCCTAAAATATCACCAGTTCCGTGTATATTTATCGTTTTTATTTGGCTTTCTGACACGAAAACAGACTAAATGTTTCTTGGTTTTGTTACGGTAGGATTATCAAAAATGTTTCTGCTAAATATCACAAGAATAAGCAAGATCATTACTTTTCTTTTCCCAATATTCGCTAGATTTATCTTCTAAATAATATGACATCTTTAACCCCTTAGTGCATCCCCCCAGAACCTTCTGCTGATAGTTTGCAACGATCTACGGCAATTTCTCCACATAAATGTAGAATGGTGAAAATCGTCAAACAACCCCTAAGTCAACAGATGTGATGGTGAGGGGGGGCTTTATTGCCCGGGGATTACATCTGTTCATAGTTCACTGCTTCTACTGTTTTATCCTCCCAAACATGGATTATTGCCTATTATTCCCTGCATCTCTTATTCAAGTCTTCTTCCGTTATTTCTAGCCCACCTAATTTCTCTCCCCTGCTCCCAGATGCAGCCTTTGGCTTACTGCCTCGTTCGTGCCACCGGTAGGTCACGGCTGACAGATGGCAGGATTGGGAGGGCTGGGGCTATAAGACAGCCGGCAGAATGAAGAAAGACGTGCTCCATACATTACATGACTCAAGGCTGAGCTTAATTTTTAACCTTTATTTATGTTGGGCCAGCTGACAGAGCACTCTGTCTTCTTCCAAGCAAAACCTTTTCTTCTTCGCTTTAGAAGAGCTGTGACATTTCCAGCGCTGTTATGCTATTTTCAGACGACGGGGCACTTGTCACATTCTGAGAAGGTGAAATACATACAGTCTTGTTTATGTTTTACAAAATTTTACGAAACACAATATTTTTCTAAAATGTCACAATGTCTTTTGAAATTGTTCTTTTTCTTGATCCTTTATTGTGTAACTGTCTCATATAAAACCTAATTTCTGCTTTTTTTTTTTACATGGGGATTCAAAAAAAAAAAAAGAAATCCACAAAGAGATGGTTTGACGTGAGTTCCTCAATGAAAAGGATTTTATCTTGGAAATATTTATTCCTGATCAATTACCCAAGAGTTTCACCAAGAAAGCTGGCTGAGCTCAGTAATAGAACAGTCAACCAAACAGGAAATTTGAAATATGGGACTTCTAAGATCACAGAGGAATTTTAAAATTTAGGGAATTTGTCATGTTGGGGTCTAAGCGTCTAACCCACATGCAGAAACACTCAGCAGACAGGAAAAAAGTTCAAAGGTGTATTTACAAAGTTTTACAGTGAAATGTGAACTGGGTCTTGGCTCGTCAGGCTGGTCACGGGAAGGAAGCAACTAGAGGAGGACAGATCGGTTAGCGTGGATCCAGGAAACTTGCAGTTTTACGGAGGCTTGGATTAATACCTGCTCAGAGGGTATTCTGATCGGCAGAGGGGGGGAACCTTGTGGGTCCAGAGGAAGAGACGGAGGCTGAGGCAGAGGGCAGACAGGCAGGTTCCAGGCAGCGATTGTTTTCTCCAGGATTAAACAGATATCCAGATAAGTCAGGACCATTACTGGCAAACACTCTGGCAGGGAAATGTCAGCCTCCTCCTCCTTAAGAAGGCCTCCTGATGAGCAGATGGGAAACAGGTGTGTAGAAGTCAGCTCATGCCCTCAGAAGGGAGATCTCAGGCGCCCTCTGGTGGAGAAAGTTAGACAAGCCTCAGGATCCCAACAGAATTTACTTATTGTTTTTCGACTTAAATTAGAATGGTAAATGACATACATTTGTGGGCAAGACTGCCTTTGTTGTTCTTCACAACACGGGTTGTTCTTATTGTCCATGTTTAGGAAAAAACTGTTTACGTGATGTTCCTTACTTGGGAATGAGGTTTAATAAATAACTGAAAAAAAATAAGTTTTTAAGTAGTATTAACAGAATTTCAAAACTTTGAATGTTGAGGTCCAAAATGTTACATTTATTACATATATACTGACTGATATAAATGGTAAAACTAGTTTGTTTAGGTGAATGCTGCATCACATTATCGTTATAAAAACAGAACCGTCCCATTTTATATTACGGTAACCTCTAAATGTAATGATGCTATTATATAATACTGTACAAATGATAAAAAATACATTCATTAACTTTTGTTACATTTTTAGGATGTCACAAAACGCGATCGTAGTCATGTGTCCCGGCATTTTGAGTCCAAATTAATAACATTGCTCCATAACACATGTAAATAAAAAGCGTTGAATAAAAAGACATTCTATTTCACAGTTATTCTCTATCTTGTTTTGCTCCATAATCAAAAATCTCAGCAAAGTTTTTTTTCATTAGTTGTCATGATGTGTGAGAATTTGGACAGAAATTTAATAATTATATCAAGAATTATTAATAAAAAATTAACATCGCCGTCACTATTGCATTTCTTCTACATTTACAAATCACTTAAATTCTTTAATAATTTTAACAGTCTTGAATCCTTAATGTTTCTATGAGGCGCTACTCTAACCTCTATCTCCTCCTGCCATTCGTCTGCCCATCAGCGTCTCTCAGCTGAAGGGCCAAAGCGACCCAGTCAGGCAGGCATAATCCAGCACAAACCCATCTCAAAGCCCAACCGCCCCTTAGACCATGAGCTTTTCATTTCACACCATCAGCAATAGTTTCTATACAGTTTCCTGAGGGGGAACTTTGCAAAAGAAATTTCTTCATAAAAAAGAGAAATCGCATAGTATCCCATAAATTGTAATTTTCTTCATCATTAGATCTTTTACACTAGATTTTTATGTAGTCTATGGTTTGTTGTACGTGGAGAAAATGAAAAAAGATTCAAAATGCTATTTAGCATTTGCTGTGATATATTTTAGGGTATTTGTACCACGATAACCTTTTGATTATTATTAATTTTTCAACATGTTTTCTGCTAATGGATTACATCAGCTGTGAGCTTGGCCCATTTATGTATAGATCAAGCCTTCTGCAGCCATTAATGGTAGGTACAGTAATAGAACATTGGTTTGCTGGATTTTAAAAGTCCAGTCAGTCCATTCCAAATCCCTTTTTCTCTTCTTGCTGAATAATTTTCGCTGTCCTGTTGTGAGTGTACAGAAATTATACTTTTATGGTAAAATTTATCTATACTCTGTCTATAGATATGTTTTTAGCCATTTGGCAGGGGGTGGCATCCTTTCGCCCCTTGATGACAAACTGCTTCTGCATGCTGCATTATTAATAATTACAATCAATTACATTATATTTTTGTTAAGGCTCATATTGTTCAAAGAAATGGGAGTCCAATCATAATGGTAATTATTACTAGTCTCTGGCATGTAGAATCTATTTGGGAGTAATGAGTTTGGGATATCTTAAGAGGGTTTAGTCGGGTCATAGGTCAGCAGTTCAAACTGCTTTTAGCCCCCATCTTATTTTCTATATTCATAAATAACATTGGAAAGGACGTGCAAACTGCTAAACTGCATCTTTATGCAGATGACACTGTGATTTATTCAGTTGCCTCTTCACTGAACCAAGCCATGCATGACCTTCAGTTGGCCTTTCAGCAGCTTCAAGTTTCTCTACATGGCCTTAAGTTAGTGCTAAATACTAAGAAAACTAAATTTATGATGTTTCTTAGGGCTCGTTCCCAATCCCCAGATAATATAACTATTAACACATTAAATGGAGACTTAATTGAAAATGTTTCTTCATATAAGTATTTAGGTTTTTGGCTGGACAACAAACTTTCTTTCAAAGTTCATGTTGAAAAAGTTGTGAAAAAGCTGAAACTACGGCTGGGGTTTTATTTTAGAAATAAAACTTGTTTTAACATGTCAGCCAGAAAAACACTTGTGCAGGCTACTTTTTTAAGTGTTTTGGACTATGGTGATGTTGTCTACATGCATGCTGCCTCTAGTACTCTCCACCTGTTAGATTCTGTGTACCATAGTGCTTTGCGCTTCTTAACTAACTCCTATTCCCGTACTCATCATTGTACGCTGTATGAACTGGTAGGCTGGCCGTCACTAAGTCTACGTAGACAACTTCATTTCTATATTTTTCTATACAAGGCCATGTTGGGTAAACTGCCGGCATATTTATGTAATCTCCTCAAGCTAAATTCCAGCCATTTTCATCTCCATTCCACCAGGTGGCGCTCTTACCAGGTTCCAATGGTTTTACTGAGCTGGGGAAGAAATCCTTCTCTTACTTTGCTCCATGGTCCTGGAATAATTTGCAAAACTTGCTCCATGTAAATGATCTAGTCCCATTGAATGAATTTAAGGCCATGTTAAAATGTCATGTAATTCAAAAATGTAACTGCCCTATGTGACCTGTCTTTTCCTCTATGTAAGATTTTGTCTATGCTGTATTTCTGTTTGTATTTTAACTGGTGTGCCGTCTTGGCCAGTTCTCCCTCGAAAAAGAGATTTCAATCTCAAGGGACTTCGAGGTTAAAAAAAGGTTAAATAAATAAAAAAATACTAATAATAATAAATAAAAAACAGCTCACAAAGCTTGACCACGCCCACCTAAAGATAGAGTTTATTATTTGACATAAAAGAAAAATGTTGGCAATTAATTTTGGCCTCTCTCCCTCGTTTTCCTTTAGTTTTTACCCAAATTCAATTTTTTGCACCTCCTCACCTGAGGCGCTGCAGCCTCCGCACCTCACAGTGAGACAGCTGGTCAGAATGCTCTCTATGGTAGAAGGTTGCAAGGATGGTGGGGGCAGGTGGACTCTCCTCATCCTCCGCAGGAAGTTCAGTAGTAGCCATTCAAAATTTACCCAGTTTCCTTCATGGGCCCTAAGCTCCTTGGATGGTCCCCTAAGATTGCTTTTTAAACATCAGTCTTTGTACTAAAATATCCTTTCTGTCGTGATTTGTGGACTTTAAGATAGAAAGAGAAGCACCATCTCCTAGGCAGACCCTGTAATTCAGTGAGAGGGTGGAGTCGTAGTAAAAATATATGAACGCCCAGGAAAAGGAGGGGGTCACTCACGTGTCTGGAAGATGGACGAGATTTAGCTGGGAGTTGCAGGGAAGTGGGCTGCTAGTGAGGTGGGGTAAACAGTCCAGGTAAGGGTGTCTGTAGCTACGTTTACATGGACACAACTAATCGGATTGAAGGCCTGATCAGATCAAAAATGTTTCATGTAAACATGTCAGACTGAAGATTCTAATCCGATTCGGTCCGATCGGATCTAAATTTAATTCCGAAAGAGAGAGGTGGTTTTTGCCGATCGCCATTCCGATTGGCGTCCATGTAAACACCCATTCGGATCTTAAGAGTAAAATAATCTTCACTGCGCATGTGTGCGACGTCAGCGTGACGTTTTTCTGCCTTGTCAACAACAGGAAACCACCGGTCGCTCTCGCTCTCGCTTTGAACAACATGGCGGGAGGAGTCTAGGAACGCCGACTTCTACACTCAAGTTCATTTAAAGCTGCAGGAAGCAGGAATTTATCCTCCTCCTCTTCCTCTTCTCTCTCCACAGCCCACTCGCTCTCCCACGCCGGTTCAATCGCTCATTCTCTACATTTTCTCTCGTACATTTCGCT